AAAATTTTAAATATGAGCCCGATTCGACACTTCACTTCAGCTCTTATAGATGCATACTTGCAGTGGACTTGCTCTTAAACACAGACCTATGTAGATTTTTTTTAACTTTATTTTATGTGCATTGGTGTGAGGGTGTCAGATCCCCAGAGCTTCCATATGGGTGATGGGAATTGAACTCCGGTCCTCTGGATGAGCAGCCAGTGCTCTTAACTGCTGCACCATCTCTCCAGCCCTATAGATGGTTTTTCAAACATCTGATTATACTTTTGGTAGAGTGTCTGCCTCTGTACATCAAAGGCTCTGGGTTCAATCTTGGGTATCACACACAAGAACAAAACAAAGGAAGAATTTGCATGGTCCCTGGTATAGAGCAAGCCCTCCTTAGATGTTAAATGCTCTTGGGGTGAGGTGGTAGGTCAGTGGTTAAGAATGTTTGCCGAGTAAGCATGAGGATCAAAGTTCAAATCCCCAGCACCCATGTTAAAAAAAAAAAAAAAAAAAAAAAAAACAAAAGAAAAGAAAAGAAAAACAAAAAAATCAGGTCAGTATGACTGTGCATGCCTGTAGTCCCAGAATCAGGTAGATCCTAAAACCAATCAGCCTAGCCAAAAGGGAGAACTTTGCCTTCAGTGAGGGACCCTGCCCATTTACACACACACACACACACACACACACACACACACACACACACACACACACACACACACACGCCCTGCCTACCTCTCTTGGTAAGCATTTCCTCAAGATGGACTTTGGAAACTGGTGGGACTGACCCATGTGCTGTCATGGACTGGGAAATACTGAGTATGTCCTAAACTTGAAACTACAGACCTTAAGAAGGTTCAGAAGGGGAAGGAAGTTTCGCTTGCCTGTGCACATGCATTTTTCCTAAGAGGGGAACGTATGGTTTGTGTCTAAAATGTGAGTCCCTTTTAACCACTTGGCCTTTTTAAAATTCATTTTTAAATGAGTAATGTGGGCTGTAGGCTTGAGCGAAAGTGTTCCCAGAGTTGAGACGAGGGTGTCAGATCCCCTGGAGCTGGGATTATATGTAGTGGGAGTCACGTAATGTGGGAACTGACTATGGGTCCTCTGTAAGAGCAGCAAGTACTCTCAACTGCTGAGCCGTCCGTCTCTCCGGGCCCCACACTTGGACTTTGGCATTGCACATTTTACCTTTCAGTTTTTAACTGGAAGGTGGCCTTGGCTTCCAGGAGGAGCAGTAGGTTGTGGCTCAGCTCTCAGAGAGCGTCGTTATTTCACAGTAACGCTGTAAGTTCAAGGCACAGTGAGGCGTTGGCTTTCTGTTCTCACTACTTGCAACCCTGCTTGGTATTGTGTTAGGAGATGGGGACTCTGGCAGGCAGAGCTCCCGAGCATTGTGCTTGTGTTAGCTGACATACTGACGCTGTTGTTTCTCTCTCCCTGTACCTCAGGCCAGCCTGGGACTTGTGTAGTCCAGGCTGGTGATCTTCCTGTTTCTTCTGCCCCCGCTGCTGGGTCACTGCACTTACCTACCCCACACCTTACCTGAGTTCTTACCCTCCTGGATGCCATCTGTGACAATGACCAGTGGTCTCTGTGCTCCCCCTGAGAATGGTTCGGCTGAACTAGCTGTTTTGTTTGCTTATTGTGGGTTCAGGGGATTGAATTTAGGTCCTCACATTCGTTCGTGCAGCAGGCACTTTACTCTAGGCTGAGCCACACCCCCTCCCCAGCCCTGGGCTTGTCTTTATAACCCTCTACAGGTCTTGTGTGGCAGTGCTGGAGAAAGGGCCTGGCTTTGAATGGACTGCTGTGAGTTGGGTTTGGTGTCATAGTTGGAGCCATCTAGTGACTTGTACGGAGAATGTTTCATCACATTAGTGTTTTGATCCCTTCCTCTGGAATATGGACCTTTTTGGCCCAATGGTGGTAGGAGGCATGGGCCTGCTGGTTTACTCATGGTGTAAGTTCTGTTTGGTGCTGGTGGTGCTGGATCTGGTGGTGGCAGCAGCAGCGATGGTGCTGGATTCAAGGAGGTGTTGGCCGGGAGTCTAGGAACCTGATGACCCGTGGGAAAAGTTCTGGCTTCTACAGGCCTGGGTGTCTCAGAGCATTGCTAGTATGCAGAGTCCAACCTTGTCATCTTGAAGTGGAACTAAGGCCAGGCTAGGCCATTATCCACCATGTCGGTTTTGCCAGATTAGGGTGACTGCCGCCAGCTATCAGCTGCCTCGCTGACGTAAATGAATTTAGGGATGGCTGTTAAAAGATGCACTGGAGAATTTTTAGGCTAAATTGGGCCTTTCTTTTCTTTTTTCTTTTTCCTTTCTTTCCTCCAAGACAGGGTTCTTCTGTGTAGCCTTTGCTGGCCTCTAACTCACTCTGTAGACCAGGCTGGCCTCGAACTCACAGAGATCTGCCTGCCTGTGCTTTCCAAGTACTGGGATTAAAGGTGTGCACCACCACCGCCGGACCTTTCTAGATGGATGATGTGGACAGACCCACACTATATGCCGTGTGGCATCAAGGCAGAAAACAGTCTTACCCTCCCTTTCCTCCTTTCCCCCAATTTTTAATGAAAACAACTCACATTCAGAGAAGTGTAGATGAAGATAAACCACCTTTGAGGTGTGGGGGATGACACGCACCTTTAGTCTTAGAACTAGCAAAGGCCAGCAGAGACTCTGTAGTGAGACTCTGTCTCAAAAAAATAAGAGAGGAAAAAATCACCTTCGCAACAGGGTGCAGCTTGCTTTTTCCCACTGCCAAAGGAAGTTTTAAATTAAAACTATTGACTGATATAGAGCCAGTAGGGTGTGTGCAATTTTAACCTTGACAAATTAGGATTACCCTTGAGAAAGGAGGCTGTACCAAACCTGACCGTCCCTTGTGTGGAGGCCGGTCCGTTCTCATCCACACGGTTTTCTTCCCTCCTGCTGTAATCTAGTACCGGGGGAGGAGAGAGAAGTACTAACAGCTCTACTACTGTCTGTCTGTCTGTCTGTCTTCGTGAGAGAGGACCAGGCAGATGTTCCTGGGTAGGCAGCACCCAGGGGTATGCTCTGTACGGCTTTGATTGCTGGAAGCCAGGATTGGTTAAAATACAGCTGGAGGAAGGAAGGAATGTTGTTATTAGATTAGAAAAATACAACAACAAAAGCCAGTGCCAGAGAGGTTATTATCATTTCATAAATGCCATACTGAGTCTTGAAATAGCTCATCATTTCTCATTGTCCAGCCTGATTTGCTGCCAATTAGCTTTTCATGGTTTAATTAATGAGACTAGCCCTTTGGGGTGTCTAGAAGTGAGGTGAATTTCATTGATGTCTGGTATTCCCACTCTCAGACCCCTGGACCGCTTGTACAGCTTGTGATAGGGAGGGCAGCTGGCTCCTTGAGGAGCCTTGGGTGATTTCGTTGTTAAAATTCGATTGAAGCCATTGACTTGTTCTTACCGAGTGCTATGTAAGTTCTGGAGCCCCAAACCCTGATTCAAAGCTTCCTCTTTTTTTTTTTTTTTTTTTTTTTTTTTTTTGAGATATAGTTTCTTTATGTAGCCCTGGCTGTCCAGGAACTCACTCTGTAGACCAGACTGGCTTCAAACTCATAGAGATCTGCCTGTCTCTGCCTCCCAAGTGCTGGGTTTAAAAGCTACTACATCCAGCTCAGCTTTCTCCGTCTTAACTGAGAGGTGACAGTAGCTGTAATGAGGAAGCATGGCTTGGACCTGGGGAAAGGCCATCAGCAGAGCAGGCAACATCCTGCTTTCCAGGAACGTGGCTGCCGAGCCCAAGCTCACAGAGAGCATTTGGCTGCAACAAGCTTTTTGTTTTCCCTTAAATGTTTGAGAGCATAAATACATCTGCATCCCTTATCTTAGAAGCCAGCCACACTGAGTAAGAGCTAAAGTGGAGTTCTGTGCATTGTCTCCTTTGCTTGCTGAGTCTGTGTCTCACTGTGGGGCTCTGGCTGGCCTGGTGCCCATGCTCCTCCTGCCTCAGCCTCCACAGTGCTGCGGTCACAGGCACGGCCACCTGACCCGGCTTTGGGAGGTTCCTCAGTTTGCATGCATTGATGCAGATATGGATGCCAGAGGAAAACTTTGGGGGATTGGTTCTCCTCTTCCTCTGTGAGGACTCCTGGGTTTGAACTCGGCTCTTCGGGCTTGGTGGCAGGTGCCTTTGCCTCCCTGAGCCGTCTGCTTGCCCTTGAGAGGAAAGGTGATTCTGAAGAGTGACTGGTGTTTTCTCTCTGTTCCCTGGACTTTTCCTTTTCTTGAATAGATCTTGTAATGATGCCAAAGAGTGCTAGAGTGCCTGAGTAATGGAGAAAAGGCTAACGTGTTTTCAGATCCTCGGCGCAGTAGCCTTTGGAGTCTGCCCCAGCAGACTTAATAAGGACTTTTTATTTCTTAAGGAAGCATAATGAATTTCAACTAATTTCAACAGCCTTGCAAACCTCCCTGCAACAAATCAGCAGCAGCTCGGAGCCTACAACTGGCACACATCTTACTCTACAACGGCTGAGCCTGACAGAGAACCTAAGTTCCCTCCCCAGGACAGACATGGCAGGACAAGGTGTCCTCTGACTCCACATGTGCACAGTGTTACACGCGCGCGCACACGCACGCGTAAAGAGAAGAAAGTACCAGTGTGCCAGCATAGCCCATGTCTTGGTGGGCAAGGGGGCTTCTCTAGGGTCTTTTTAAATTTTACTTATTTTTGTTTTGCATGCAGTGGTATTTTGCCATGGGTGTCAGATCCCCTGCAACTGGAGTTACAGACAGTTGTGAGCTGCCATGTGGGTGCTGGGAATTGAACCCAGGTCCTTTGGAAGAATAATCAGTGTTCCTAACCACACTGAACTCTCTCTCTCCAGCCCTCTCAGGTCCATTTTTAGGGTTTCTTTTCCCTTAGTTTTCCCCTTCTTCCTTGATCTGTTGCTTCTCAAAGGATTTCAGTGTGTACATGTGGTGGGCTTGAGCACACAGCAGCCTTTGCAGACACCAGACGGTGCCTACCCCTCACTGGCCTCCAGGCCCTTCTGGGGCTGGACACAGTCTAAGAACACTGTGATGACATCAGACTTGCTTAAACATATCACTGGCAGGATATTGTCCCTAAGGGAGCCTGGTGACAAGGTTAGTTTTCAAATCTAAAGACCCACTTCACACTGCATCCACAGGTCAGTGCAAGACTCCAACATCTTGAGGTCTGCTGGTGGCTTTGGAAGGAAATGAGCAGGGAAGGCAATCTACATTGGCATTTCAGCTCCCGAGGCTGAAGGTTCTCTGTTTTTGTAAGCCTGGCTGTAATTGAGTTTTAGCAGCAGAGGGCACGAGGCTTGGCATTTTTTATGATGCTAGATTGTGGGATGGATAAGGAGGCCTTTCATTTCTCATTGCAGCTGGTCACATGTTGCTGGTTCAGAACTGAGCTCTTGGCTCATGGGGAAACATCGTGATGGATCACAGAGAGGGTAGCCACTGTGGCCAGGACAAAGCAAGACAAAGGAGCTGTTTGCTGCTGTGGGAAGGGTGTCCAGACTGGAGCGTCGGGAAGGCTGCATCTAGCCCTCCCTCGGTTGATTGCTGCTGGGGCAGACCACGCCATGTTTCAGTGCCAATTGGGTGCGCTTTCCTTCTGGCCTCGCTGTCCTGAAAGACTGACTGAATGTGGGAAGTCAGCTCTGTTGGCCATGGAGCCACCATAAGAAGGACAAGAGGAGGTGGCGTGGAAGAGACCTGATTAGATGCCTGAAACCCGAACCATGGGCTGGCTCTAGCACACTCACTTTACCAGGGATTTGGCAGCCTTTGCTCACCTAGTCTCATAATGAGCCTAAGGAAATGGGAACCCAGACATGGGCTCTCGTGAAGCATAGGCCAACCCTGGCAAACTGGCACTTTGATTCTACCAGCCCCTGAGTAGGAGCACCAGTCCATCACCATATCATAACAAACGGGGCCAGGGGTGTCCTTGTGTTCGGAGAGTGGCAGTGTGCCCTAACTTCTGCTGGCTTGCTTTAGTGAGGTTAAGAAGCAGAGCCAGGCTTGGTCCGTGTGGACTTGACACTGTCTACAGTGAGCCCCTGAAGCTCTGAGGCTTGGCCAGACTGCCTGCCCCATCCGGTGGCCTGGCATCCAGTTCTCTGTGGGGCCTAGTTCAGGGGACTTGGGGACAGGTTGATCAGAGATTTCAGAAATCCTTTTCAGTTGGCAGGTCATGAGCTCTTGACTGGAAGTTAGCCCCTAGTGGCCTCTGTACAAAACATAGAGCAGGTGCCTGCTTTGTCCCTAAGGTCTGGCCTTGTTGCTGAGGTTGCGGACTCCACTGACGTCTTAGCCTGTGTCCTTGGGCTGCGCCTAGCCTGGCCTTCTGCTTCATCTCTTCATTTCTGTCCTGCTTCCCAGGAAACCAACTTACACTATGCAGCCTCAAAATTGCATGCTTTGTCCTTGACGTGTGCCCATAGTACCCCTCCCTTGGCAGCCACTGTTCCCTAAGAAGCATCCCCAGAACAGCACAGCCTTGTTTACCGCTGGTGTTATCAAAGCAACTTACTGAGAATTAGCCAGTACCAAACTTTCTTTTAAAATTACCTCTACAGTTGTTTTTTTTTAAATTACCCCTGGGGAGGGGGCGGGGCAGGCAGGAGAGGAGGCTCAGCAGTTGCCAGCACAGACTGCTCTTGCAGAGGACCCCAGTTCAATTCCCAGTACCCCTATCATCAGGTGATTCACAAGTGTCTGTAACTCCAGCTCCAGGAGATCTGGTGCCTCTGGCTTTCTTGGGCACCCACATGGATACATGCATACCATGTGTGCACATGACCATACACGTGTGTAAATTAAAAGAAGTCTAGAAAAATTATTCTTATAAAGCTAGGTGGCAGTTGAATGAAACTGAGCTCTCTCTCTCTCTCTCTCTCTCTCTCTCTCTCTCTCTCTCTCTCTCTCTGTTTCAGAGCTGAGGGTCAAACCCAGAAAGAACCTGGCACTTGCTAGGCAAACACCCTACCCCTGAGTAAATCCCCAACCCCTGTCATTGTTTCTGTTGCTGCTTTGTCTTTTTTTTTTTTTTTTTTTTTTTTTTTTATAACCGACAGACCTATTGACATGAAGATAGCAGGGAAGAGCTAGGCCTGCCTTGAGTCCTAGTGCTCAGGAGGCAGATGTAGACATAGTTCTATGAATTCGAGGCCAGTGTGGTCCACATAATGAGTCCCAGGCTAGCCAGGGCTACAGTAGCAAGACCCTGTCTACAACAAACAAAACAAACCAGAGAAGTCCAGAGGCTGAATTTCCGAGCTGTTGCCTATTGCTGGATGTAGATTGCTGTGTCTGATTGATGGAGTGCGTTCTCTCTTCCTGCAGTCAACCCCAGAGGAGGGTCCGCAGATTGCAGAAGAATGGGAACAAAACTCTGTTGCAAAGTAGTTCCTCTCAGGGATTTGATGGTGAAATGTTGTGTTCATGTGTTGTCTGGGCCCTGGCCCTGGTCCTCTTGCCATGTCAGCCAATTCCCTCCCTCTGGTGACGTAGGAGTGCCGTTTCCCACCCCCGCCACGCCAGGTTCCATCTGCTCTCCTGTTGGTAGTATCAGTTGCTGGCACTTTGGACAGCAGGGTTTGGCAGAAGACCTAAAGGTCGGACTGAGCAAGCAGTGTGGTATTGATGGCCTGTGGTAGGCTGTGTATCCGTGTACATAGTCACCCTGAGCACAAACAAATTGGAAAGTGCCTTCGCTCCCCATTTTGCAAGTAATACTGAGACTGAGAGGTTATAGCTTGTTGGAGTTGTGGCATGTTTGAGCTTCAGAGCCCCCTGGGAAAGGAGTCAGGGTGAGAAGCCTGGTGCCCTGTGCCAGGCAGATGCCCTTTCCACTCACCCATGATGCCTCTCTGGTACCTGGGATCGCCATCCCTGACTACCTCCTTATGTTGTCCTGCAGGCAGAGAACAGACCTAGGGTCATACCATGTCCACACTGGTCTTCATGTCCCGCCCTTTCTCCACCCCCCCCCCATGCCCGTCCTGCTACTACTGCTTATCAGCACTGGGGACAGAACAGCTGTCCCGTCTCACCCTGGCCTTGTGTTCACAGAACTGCTGATGTCTGATCCATGTCCTAGCTCTTCTGGTGACATCTGTGTACCGCCTGTCATGGTGCAAGCTGGCTGTAATTAACCAGGCGTGGGGCCTCACACTGTCTCCATCGTTCAAGAGTGAATAGGCAGGCTGGAGGATCATGCATTTGAGGCCGGCTTGAGCTACATAGTCTGCTGCCCCTTAAAAGCACAGTGACGTTAGATGTCACAGGTGGGCAGCTCTTCAGGTGGCTGCCTTCCTTCCATCTAATCTAGCTAAAGCTCCGGAAGAGCAAAAGTGCCTCCCCATCGTCCCAGTGGTATCTGTGTGTGCTGGTAGGCTACCACATTGCCACTCAGCTTTCTTCCGTTTGAGCAGATGCTTGTTCTACCCGAGGCTTCGTCATAGCTGCCTAAATGTCCTGGCTGTGTGGCACTGGTCAGGTAAGAACAGCAGGTCATGGCAGTCAGTTTCTACATCTCTCCACTTACTGCAATGGCAAGACAGTGCGGGGCTGACAGAGATTCGAGCGAGGCACATTGTTAGAGCCGTTGTCAAACTAAGTGGGTGCAGTAACCCTCCTGGGCCAGCTTTTCACAGGTGGAACACCGCTGGCGAAATTCTTATTCCGAGAGCCTTAAACCCACCAGGATGCTTCCTTTTAGCTTGACAGTAGAGAACTGCGGATAGAAATGAGCCAGTTAAAAGAGAGGAAGTGGCCACTGAGCAGTTGCGAGTGAGACAGACTGTTTGTCATTTATAACGCCAGTGTGTGGTTTGCTCATGAAAGAGAATGCCTAGCTAGGATTTGTCTAGTGAAAATTAAACCATTAAACCTTCCAAAGCGAGAAACTCTGGCCATCTGCACATGGCTCTGTCGCCTGTGGAGAAACCACTCTCTGACTTTTGCTTTTCCTGTTGTTTATCACAGAGCCTGAGCCCTTGTGAAGCTGGCAATGACAAGTCTGAATGGTCGCCATGCCGAGAAAACCATTGACATGCCAAAACCATCAGCCCCCAAAGTGCACGTGCAGAGGTCCGTGTCCCGAGATACCATCGCCATTCACTTCTCGGCATCCGGGGAGGAGGAGGAGGAAGAGGAGGAGGAGTTCAGGGGGTACCTGGAGGAGGGGCTAGATGACCAAAGCATTGTAACGGGGCTTGAAGCCAAGGAGGACCTCTGTCTTGAATCCCAAGGTGGCTATGACCCTGTGGGCCCTGCTGCCTGGACCATCTCGGCAGATGGAGTGCCTGTACCAGAGACCCCTGCCATTTTGCCCGTCTCCGAGAATACTGTAAAGCTGCTGGAGTCCCCTGCTCCAGCCGCACAAGTATTAAGTACAGTGCCACTGGCTCTGTCCCCAGGGTCATCTTCATCTGGGCCCTTAGCTAGCTCTCCCAGTGTGTCATCCCTTTCTGAGCAGAAAACCAGTTCCTCGTCCCCACTGTCTTCTCCTTCCAAGTCCCCTGTCCTTTCATCCAGTGCCTCGTCCTCCGCTCTCTCCAGTGCAAAGCCCTTCATGAGCCTGGTGAAGTCCCTGTCAACCGAGGTGGAGCCAAAAGAGTTCCCCCACCCCCCACGGCACAGGCACTTGATGAAGACTCTGGTCAAGTCCCTGTCCACAGACACGTCCCGTCAGGAGTCGGATACCGTGTCCTATAAGCCCCCTGACTCCAAACTCAATCTGCACCTGTTCAAGCAGTTCACACAGCCACGGAACACGGGCGGGGACTCCAAGACCGCGCCTTCTTCCCCACTGACTTCTCCTTCGGACACTCGCTCCTTTTTTAAAGTGCCCGAAATGGAGGCGAAAATCGAAGACACTAAACGACGCCTTTCCGAAGTCATCTATGAGCCCTTCCAGCTCCTCAGCAAAATCATTGGGGAGGAAAGTGGCAGCCACAGGCCCAAAGCCTTATCTTCAAGTGCTTCAGAACTCTCCAACCTGTCCAGCTTGAATGGGCACTTGGAAAGCAATAACAACTACAGCATCAAGGAGGAGGAGTGTGACTCTGAGGGGGACGGCTACGGCAGTGACTCCAACACCCCCAGGAGCGACCACCCGAAGCCCACCGAGGAAGCCGCGAAGGAAGTGGAGACCAAGGGCTCCCAGGGGAGCAATCTGAAGGACGTAGGTGTGAAGACAAGTACTCTCGTTCTTGAGAGGTGTTCCCTGTCTGCCTTAGTGAGTAAAGAGGACGAGGAGTTCTGTGAACTGTACACTGAGGACTTTGAGCTGGACGCTGAGGCCGAGGGGAGACTTGATAAGCCCCTAGATGCCCCCCTCAAGCCAGAGGTGCTTGCTGACGATGGCATGGTTCTGGACAGCGAGGACGAAGGGGACTTGGCCACCCAGCACCAGGAGTTACCGGTGAAGACACTGGGCTTCTTTATAATGTGTGTCTATGCGTACCTTATCCTCCCCCTCCCCTACTACATGAGCGGGCTCCTCCTGGGCATTGGCCTTGGGTTCATGACTGCTGTTTGCATGATCTGGTTTTTTACACCACCAAGTGCTCATAAATACCACAAATCACATAAAACTCTGCGACACTGGTACACAAGATCCCTGGACATCAAAGAGCCTGAAATACTGAAGGTAAGTCTCCCTAGAGCCACTGGCAAGCACAACCAGCGACGAGTGAACTTGTATCTAGAGGTGTTTGCATCAGGGGTGTGTTTAAGACTTTGGGGCCTCTCTCTATTCTCCAGGAAACCAACCACACTGCTGCCCTGGAAACCCTGTTGGTCATGTTTACCTGTTTACCAGGTAGCTTTTCAAAGTTCTCCATGGCCCTGGAAAGTGACATTGCTATCTAGTTCCTACTTAGGTCTAGCCTAAGTTAGCCAGGTATCTGCTACATTTTGAGGATCTGTCCTGGCTGAATGTTAGGATCCTGTATTCTTATTTTTCAGACAGTCTCAACTCTGTAGCCCTGACTGTCCTGGAATGTATTGTGTAGAGCAGCCTGGCCTCGAACTCATAGAGATCCCCCTGCCCATGCCTCCTAACTGTGGGAATTAGAGGCGTGTGCCACCATGCCTGGCAGGGTTATATTTTTTTGAGGTTCTGACATCAGGTTGAAAGCTTGTAGGATTGCAGGAGATAGCCAAGAAGAGACCAGTTACCGCCAATTGATGGCACTTGCTGCTAGCTTGTCTCTGTGCACGCTGAAACATGGGCTGAGAAAAGATGTCACCTTTCCGTGCATGCTGTGTGTCAGGCTTTGGACCTCTGGGGGGGTGGGTTTTATGGGATGATCTTTTGGGGTGCAAGATTTCTATTTATTTCTGTATATTTATATTTTTCTGACTGTTATGTATACTTCATAAGCTTCATAGCTTACAACTATAGCTGTTGCCCAGCATGGTGGTGGCACACATCTATGATCTCAGCACTCAGGAGGTAAAGGCAGGAAGATCTCTGAGTTTGAGGTCAGCCTAGTCTATATAGTCAGTTCCAGGCCATGATTATATGGTAAGATCCTGTCTCAAAACAAAACAACAGAACAAAAAAAAAAAAAAAAAAAAAAAAAAACAGTATGTGGTTGAGGGCAGTGGTTGCTCCTGCAGACTCATTTTGGGTCCCAGCACCCATGTCAGGCTGGTTCACAGGTTCCTTTAACTTCATCTCCAGATGAAGGATGGGCCGCGGAAGGCATCTGCACATACATACGCACGTGCATGTGCCCATACACACACACTCACACACACACACACAATGTAAAAATTAAAATCTAAAGCCAAGTATAATTGTCATTTATATAGTTTGAGTTATATAAATAACTCAGGACATAAAAGTTGTCAGTGTCAACCACATTGGTTCCCTGTGGGCATTAGATGCTTCCAGTTTTACACAGGAGGTATAGATAGGGACTCTCCTTGTCCCAAGGTTTTGAGCCTAGTGTGGCCCCCACCGCTATGGTATAACTGCAGAAAGTTCACTCCCAGACTCCCCCTGAGAAGCCCTTGCTGCCCTTACCGGTCTTCAAGACAAATTCTGCTTACTTGGAGCAGTTTTGAACCTCATTGATCATAAAACCCTTAGCTTTTCAAGTTACAAGCTTGTTTGGTCTCTGTTAAATTTATCTAGACTTTTCTTCCCTATAGATGACAACAAGATCTCTCTCTTTATTGTAAAACAAAAACAAAACAACACCTGGGGTAGGACGGTGTGGGGGGGTACTCTTTCCAAGATTCTGTTTGTTGGTTTTTTTTTTTTTTTTTCACCTTTCTTATCTAAAAGAAAGACACAGGGAACCTAAAAAAAAAAAAAAGAAAGAAAAAAAAAGAAAAGAAAAGAAAGAAAGAAAGAAAGAAAGAAAGAAAAAGAAAAATTTATTCTTCATCAAACCCATGTTGGTTTAATGTATTATCCTAGCTTTTTTTTTTTCTTTCTTTCTTTCTTTCTTGACGCTCTGGTTTGTGTCTGTACCACACACGCACAGACTCACCCACTCTTCTGTTTGAGTTGATGTGATCATATACCTTACAGCGTGACCTCTTTTCTTCCTTCCACATGGCAGTTTGTTATGAGACAGTCTCTTTTTTTTAAGAGGAAGCTGGCTCTTGAGGATGTGACACCCTTGGCTCAGCATGGATATGTGGAGTGGCGCAAAATGACTCATGCAAGGTGGCTTCACTCCTTCAGAAGGGCGATGATGTGACTACCTGATTTACACACGCTCTGAATGACTCCGTGCTAATTTTAGCAAAGAAAAATGGTGCTTTTGTTAGTCCCAGAGCTACTGAGTGGCTGAAGCATTTGATTTCTACCGTTTGAGGAAAGTTTTTAATTTTAATATAGTCAGTCTCCAGTGTTGATCCAGTCACAGCTGTGGGTTGACAGTTTACCAACTACCCAGAGGATGACACCACGGTGGTATTTAAACGTTCCTACAGCATGAGAAACAGTAAAGGTAGGATGCTAGGCGGGGTATGTTGTCTCATTCCCACTGTATCATGGCCCTGTTCAGTCCTGGTCTGTGCTCATGAAGCAATGGCGGCACAGAGAGGTTGTCCAAAGCCATGCAGTCTAGGTGTATGCTTTTGGTTTGTTTTCTGTTGCTAATCACATAGCACCCAGGCTAGGTAAGTTAGAAAAGGGTGCCAGGTTGGGAGGTACCACCTGTACTTTCAGCATTTGGGAGGCAAAAGCAGGATGCTTTGAAGTTTGAGGGAAGAAAAGTTGTTCTTTTGGTTATATTCATGGTCCTAGCCCATAGTTGTGGGGCTTATCTGGGAAAGACCTTCTTCCTGGGAGAGGACTATGCACATGGGGCTTCGTTGCTAGGTGACGGGGAACACCAAGCATGTGCTCTGCCTTCCCTGTCTTCCTTCAGAGCCACCAGATTTGGATCCGGGGCTTCCACCTGGTGGCTTTATCTAATCTGTCACCTTCCAAAGGCCCTGCCCCCCAAACTCAAGGCTAGCCCCAGCTCTCTGCTGATCTCACGAAGACTCTGGGACCAGAGCAAGCTTCTTTTAAGGTGTGGGAGTTCAGGCAAATGAGAAGCAGCGGGTAGGAGCAGGACTGCCTCAGGCACCCAGCCCAGGGACGCAGAAGCACGAAGGCCAAGGTAACAGGCTGGTAGCTCAGGGCAGCCTCTTGTGATCCACCGGCTCCAAGAAATGTCACAGTGCTCCCTCTTTCTCATATGCTTCTGGAGTTGATATTTTGGGTGTCCAGCTAGATGTCCTGGGCTGGAAGCCCTAGAAAGGAGTGTCAGGACCTGGAAGGCTGGGGTGTTAGCTGTTGCCCTTATGATGGCTACTGCGTGTTCCTGACCAAATTGGATGGGCATCCTCAGGACACTTACTGTCACTTGGCCAGGAGTGTATTTCATCCAGTGCCTCTCTCACATGCCAACTTTCCCACTTGTTTATAATGAAAAACTTCCCAAGATTCCAGAAGGTTCATAGATTTATGCTGGAGAGTGACTCAGATGCAGTTTTGAATTATATTTATGAGCAAGTTCTTATCTGACATATAAATTGCCATCTCAGTGCAGAAGGATGTTGGTTCCCAGAGTAAGAACTGTCTAGAGGGTTGGCTAAAATTACATTTATGCCTTTGCAGAGACTAATAAAAATGAATTTGGGAAAAACCTTTGTTCAGCAGTGTTAGATATAATAAGAGGGACAGGTTGTTTTAATAATTAGGTTCTCTAAATACAGGCTTTGCTTTTGATATATAAAAGTAATTTTGAGCCATGCACAATGGCTCATGCCTGTAATTCTAACACAGCAAGAGACAGGGAGATCAGGAGTTCAGGGCCAGCTTTAGCTACATAGCAAGTGCAAAGCCAACCTGGCCGACATTAGACCCTGTCTCAAAATCAAAAATCAAATCACAACAGCAACCATTAAGAGTAATTTTTGAGTCAGACATAGTGACTTCAGCTCTGAGGGAAAAAAATCTTAAGCTGGAAGCCAAGGTGGTAGAAAAAAAACCGAAAAGCTGATCCTGGAAGGATGGCTCAGTGGTTAAGAGCTCTTGCTGCTCTTCCAGAGGTCCTGAGTTCACTTCCCAGCTCCACATTGGACTTCCAACAATCACGTGTAACTCTAGCATATGCATAAGTAAGGAGACATAATGGTTCCCTCCCATGTACCAAGAACCACTTACAGTAACACTTACCCAAGTCTCTTTCCTTCCTTCTAACAGTCCATCATGATTGGTCTTGAACTCACTATGTAGATCAGGCTGACTTTAAATTCATATAGCTCTACCAGCTTCTGCCTCCAGAGTGCTGGATTAAATGTGTGCTCACTAATTTACTGTGTGACTGGCTATTATTCTGGTCCAGCTATGCATAAATGCATAGCATCCTAGAAATGCTTGGATTCTTTATGGTTATCCTAGGAGCATCCTCTTTGCTTCTGTTTTGGGTATTATCCCGTGGAGTAAGAAAGGCTGTAAGTGCGATGGGCTAAAGATTTCTCAAATTGTGTGTGTATTTTTTTTTTTAAGAGTAGTAAAGCATTAACTGAAAAATGCCACCTATGCTTTCACCTCTACGTTTATATTTAATGTATAAGAAAAATACATTACACAAGCTGAGCATGGTGTTATAGCTTGAAATTTTAGCATGTGGGAAGCTGAGGCAGGAGGACCACAAGTTCAAGCCAAGCCAAGAATACATAGCTGCAGGCCAGCCTGGGCTAAGAGTGACTAAAATGAGCCCTGTCTTCTTCCCTTCGCAAGAAAGGTGCACAATTCTCTGAAGACTGTTCTTGCTCTACAGTCATTAGCTCTCCAGGGCAAGTTTGCCATTATCCAGTGGTGTGTGTGTGGTGTGTTTGTGTTGTATGTGTGTTGAGTATAAGCGTGTGTGTTTAGTGTGTGTGAGTATTGAATGTGTGTTCAGTGTGAGTGTTGTTTGTATGCGTGTGTGTTGAGTATGTGTACATGTGTGTGTGGTATTAGAGGCCAGGGTTCTTCTGTTTCTCAGCTTCTTCTCTCGGTGGTATACAATGGGTTGCAGATGATATTATCAAAAAGAAAATACTAGTTTTTTTGCTTTTATCTGTATTTTTTGCTCTTTCTAGGTATAAAAGTGACTAAGCTTTGTGATAGTTGGTACAGATGATCATGAA